TTATACATTGCATGCTTTGCGTGTTGCTTCAGATGACCTGACCTGAATTTCTAACCTCAAGAGCTCCCAATTCATACTCATCACAAGTTTTCGTTCTATTTAGCACGTGTGGAATTTTGTATTTTTGTAATGAGTCTCTTCCTTTAAACCCATCTTTCCATTGGTATTCAAAGAAATAGGCATATTGAAGAATACCCTGTAGAAATTTTTCAACAGACGTGTCCGAGGAACATATCGCTCGTGAATTTCTTATAACCTGAAAATGGAGGCGATATGTTCCTTTGAAACGTCTGTTAACAAAATATCTACACGGCGTCACATCCCAGAAGATGTCGTTCTCCATAGCCACCGCCGTGAAAACCACACATATTAAATAGGCATATTAGTTCACAACCATTAAATGCAGTCATTTTAAACTTTCGGAGTAATAAAGAGATTTGTTTGCTGCTTGCTTCATGACAATTTCTTGTTTGGTTTACTCTTTTGCCGAGAAGGTGAAAGCGATATATTTCTAAGAAATTTGGCACGAATTTAACCGAAATGCATCTCTTTATGTCCCAGAAGGTAGACTTCGTAACACAATGTCAATTCTATTTTCAAATCAGGGACTATGATTTAGTACGCTTTATATGTTTTCTAGGGAAACGATTAAACTAAGACATACTTGTAACACAAAAGACATTGTATTTTTGTAATTTACTCAATATAATGAGCTCATTTTCCTTCCAAATATTTCTACAAAACTGTACTGCAACTTTTTTCTAACAGATATCTCTATACTATACCTTATCCATTACTATATAATCACTGGACAAAATGTAATCTCAGTTTTTGACAACGTCGTTTAATAACCCACAAACAGAACAACCACAGTATTTCTTTGCAGGGACTGAGAGAAACAACATAAACCTTAAGTCAGGATATCCAGCCCCCTGCCCGAGATTCGAACCGGGTCTACCGAATGTGAATCAGACTCATTACGACTATGCTAATTGATTTCATTCAAGGTGAAATAATCATTAGGCACAAGGTCATGCAAACAGGAGAGAGCATTGTGATAAGGAAGGAGTACCGTACCAGAATATACTTCACAAGTACTGTGGTTTTGGACGTTATCCATCGTCTTGTCTATTTAAAAAACAAAAAAAGTCTGTTTATTTTTCAAAACACAGCGTTTCGGAGACTGAGTTCTGTTTCCGTCTTCAGGTAAATCCTACTCAGTTGAGTCCAATAGATAGAGCTATCCCCTATCTCCGGAGGGGACAGTATCCGGTCTCCGAAACGCTGTGTTTTGAAAAATAAACAGGACCTTTTTTTAAAAAAAAATAGACAAGACGATGGATAATGTACAAAAATATAATGCTTGTAGCGCTATATCGTCGTCACAAACTTTTAGATTTTATCAGAATATACTTCGTTCCCCCCTCTAGCCAAATTTGTCGACACCCTTATCAATATTTCTCCTGTCCCTCGCTGTGATGCACCCACCCACCCTAACTATCAGTCTCAGAACTGAACTCACTTTTTACTCAGTTATGGGCCCATGCACATTCCTGGGGGGAGAGTAAGAGTACCTGAAAACAAGAAAACTCCTGTGACCTACACACTCTCCTTGAAAACTGCAGAGCCTTGTATCTATGTATTCCTCTACAGTCATTCTGTCGGAAGTCGCTCGCCTTTTCAGATTCTTAAACCTTTACACAATCGGTAGGACCCTTGGGCGGAGGATCAGCCCGTCGCAAGGCCAGTACCTAACACGAACACAGAATAAACGCACAAAGACATCCATGCCTTGAGTCGGATTCGAAACCACGACCTCAGTGTTCTAGCGGACGAAGACGGTGAGGCCACTGTGATAGGCAGTGCAACAGGATATTCAGGAGACAATTCTAGCCCACTACTAAATCCAGAGTCATCCCCGAAGTCTTGACTGGCTTGTTGTCTGTGTTACAGCAACATTACAGATAACCAGAAAACCGGTGAAGTAACGCAGCACGCACAGAGTGACACAGATGAGGTTACTTAGTCCCATTAGGCAATTGCTTGGCAGTTAGCTATGATAGATGGTGTTCAGAGTCAATCATAGTGGCGGCGCGGTCTGAGGTATGGAATGTTTTTGTTCTCTCACACGCTGGAGTCGTGGATTCGAATCCCACTCGAGGCATGGATTTTTGTCTGTCTTTATACTATGTCTGTGATGCCCTGCATAGTTAGCTGCCTACGGTGGACTGATGCCTCACCCAAGGTGTCCTACCGTCTGTCTACTCGTATGTGATTAAGAAACTGTAAAACAAAAGCCAAGATTCATCATGGACTGCAGTGCCCATAGATTATTATTATTATTATTATTATTATTATTATTATCATCAGTTTTGTCGTACTGCT